GAATCAAATTACCCTAACCTAAAATACGAGTTATCTCTTATTAGCATCCTCTTAAAAAATAACTTTATATGAAAGGAACCAACAAATCCATCCTCAAGAAAGCATAGTGGACAGAAAATATTACATTCATTAATTACAAGATCATTATTATTATTATTATTACTGTATTGATTTTTTTTTTACGGGGATTAGCCCACCCAGGCACAGGTCTCTGACCCACATCGGGGCCTAGGGGGCGAAAATGTAATAATAATAATAATAATAATAATAATAATAATAATAATAATAATAATAATAATAATAATAATAAGGAACCATAAAGAAATACAAATTGAAAAAAATCAAGTGAGAAACAATATACAGTATGTATGTTGTGTTGTCAATAGTAAGAGAAACAATTGAGACCCTGCAATTGTATGTAAATGAGGCAAAAAGTCAGATCAGCAACCTGGGACTTGGTCACAATTTTCGTGATGCCATATGACAGCAGGGTCTACCATAGACAACACATTATGCTTCCAATATCTTCCCAGGCGGTAGTACCTCCCTGTTTGATAGTTACCTGTACAGTATTTGTCTGGTCACAGGTCTTTACATATTTCCACTATCTGTGTGGCATACATTCTGATTGATTGAGGCTGATGGTGCTAATGACCTAAATTAATAAATTGGTTACATGCAAAGTTAGGTTAGGTTAGATTAGAATTGCAAGTGACCAGATTGTGTTATTCCTCCACCCGATTTGCTTTAGTTTTGAGGTTAGTAATAAGTTTTTTCGATAGATTTTTCTTTAGGTGGCTGGATAACCCAGAACATTGTCCTTAATTATCACCAGACATATTATTGGAAATGCTGTAAATGACTGATAACATAACATAATGGTTGCCCCTCATGTAAAAAGGATGGCCAGCCTTAGGGCCACCCAGGCGTGAATTTGTTAAGGTGTAGAAGCTGTCGCCAGCACAACAACCACACCCTAAGTTAACGAGCTGCATGATCCAGTGTCAAGGAATAATCCGAGAAGACCGGACAGCTCGCCAACTGCACTGGCTAACCATTACCCCGGAATATGATCTGCAAATCGATTAACATTCAGCTTCCCAATTACTGTTGGGCTAGACAGAGGCAAATGGCATAAAGAAACTTGCCCATAGTTTCACCCTGCCTGGGGATTAAACCCAGGTCCGCTCGCTTGTGAGGCGAGCACGCTGACCATTACACCACAGGTCAAGTATTAAGCCCCAGAGGACAAATAAATAGACAGCCAGATATTTCATTAGTAAAGTCATTATACAAGTTGACAATGGTTCATGATGTACATAAAGAGTGCATGTAAACAAGGATAAACAGTACTGTATGTTGGTTACTGTATACTGTACTTTACCACTTAACAAAGTAAAGCACAAGAAATTTTTTTTAAACTTATTTCCATTTGGATCTATTATGTGATAACTGTTTAATGGTTAATACAGTGGGGTATGCTATAACGAACGGATCCAACTAAGAATATTCCTATAACGAATGGTTTTACCTATAAAATTGATAATGCTATAACGAACGAAACTCCTACAACGAACATTATAATTTTTTTTTTTTTTTACTAATTTATTGTTTCTGTATTACAAGTATTAATGATATTCTTTATTTCAAGGGTTTAGATGCATATTTATGCACTTTTTTACAATTTTTACAATTTAATATTATATTTTTCAGTGTTAAGTGGTTGTATTTGGGGGCCTGGAACAGATTAATCCTATAACGAACGAATGCTATAACGAACAAGGTTCTAGAACCAATTAGATTCGTTATAGCATACCCCACTGTATATGATAGCGACCGTGCATGGAACTCTATACTGTATTGACTTTTATATAGGCAGATAGCGAAAAAAAAGGGGGGGATACAGTTCAATACTCTATAACATTTCCGTCAGAAATTTATTGAACGCATTGGATTTAATTTGACTTTATGATTTCATTTAAGAAAGCACAAACTTGTGGGATTATACTGCACATTGATTACAGTAGTTCTTATTCAGCTTACCAGTAGAACTGTCCATGCCCTGTGATACCCGTGTGCATGAGCTTACTAGCGTTTTTGTCGGAAATTTATACAGGGTAATATTTTTTTTTTTTACTTTTTTTTTAAATTTCAGGTTTGGTTTCTTAAAGTTCTTTTGCCTTTTCGTTTGTGTTGTTAGGTTAGGTTTACACGTCTGAATGTCCAGACTGGACAGGTTAGATCAGGTCATTCTGGTTTCTCTGGTTAGGTTAGGTTAGATTAGACATGTACAGTACCTTATATTTATTAATATTTGAGTCACTTGGTTTTGTCCAGGTTTATTTTCCCCAGAATTTCCTTCTACTTCAAAGCCATACCAACTATGTGTGAGATCAAAAGTGAATTTTTTAAATGAAATCAAAATTAAAAACTAAAAAAATATAAATTTCAGAAAAAAAAAACACTTTAGAGGATTCTAATTTTGGGGGGCCCAGGATATAGGTACAGCATCTGTATGCAAAATGTCAATGTTTATTGGTATGTCAGACTATACATTGATAGTTACTGTACTAAGATGGTCTAACCTAATGTAAACACACCTAACCATACGGCTGTCGTACCGATACTTAATGTGAATTTTGGCTTACAGCAGCCATACCGGTATCCACTACGTATTTATTAATTTATTTACTTTCCCTCCTATATCCAAATCAATATAGAGTTCAATGTATGGTCACTACCGAATATTTACCAGTTTAATTATCAAACTAGACAGCTCTACCAGATATGAATGTCAGGTCAGTAAAGGTGGAGTAGACGGATGCATTTATTTACCCTGTATTTCATTCATATTTTACACAGGTGTTCTTTGGGTAATAAGTACATAGGCAATGCATATTTTGCTGTGACCAGCTAAGTTCCTACTAATGCTAATTTACCGTGAGTGAGGTGATTGGCTAATCGTCCATTACTGGCAAACAACACGAGAACTATATTTGACCGTGACTCTGGCAGCATTTGGCATTTATTTCGCCGTGAGCCGGTCATTGTGTAGCTATAAACATACCTAACTATATTTCTGTTGTGCATGAAAACTTATCATTATAAGATGACAATTACTAGAACCTTATAGAACCTGACCTAACCAACCAAAGAAACCTACCTAACCTTAACTAACTTCCTAGCCGTCATATTAAACAGAAAGTACTTAGCCAACCAGAGTGCACTCACGGTAAATTTGTGTTCCTAGGAACTTAGCCGGTCACAGCAAAATATCCACTGCGATACGGTAATTAAGTAATAAAACTGATACATGTTATTTCAATTATAAGTATATTTTTCCTTTTTCTCTATGATCATAAATCACCTGCAGTGGGCAGGGCATGAAGGATGAGGAATATCGCAGGTTAAAAACAAGGCGAAAAACTGACATGACACATAAATTCTCGGTATTATTGCATTTGTTGTTCCTACCCAAATCGCAAAAATTTTATCTTTGCATTTAATAGTTTAGTCAATTCTAATAACTTTTTTCTGTCATATTTCCCTCGCAAACAACTTATAATATGCCGGGAGTCCAGGGGCTCTATATTACCGAGATTCGGTTGGTAGCAACAAATGCAGGTAAATTTTCACTTGTTGCCACTAAACGATATCGAAATGGAAACTATGTTTTTCTGATGGTTTTAATGTGTTATGGACGAATTTGACCTTCATTTCTGGTGCAAGTCAATAGTTTCTGAGATAAAATGCACCCCCCCCCATCTCAGAATTTAGAGATTTGCCATAAAAATTAAGGTAACTATTTTTAAAAAGACAAATAAAAACCATATTAAACAGTTTTGAATCTAACCTAATCTAAACTATATCTAGTTTATACGTAATGTTAATATTCGTCCATTGTCTGTCCGCAGGATCCCACCAAGTTTACCTGAGGTTATACTCCTCACTTAAGAGTCAGTTGTCTCCTCCTGGTAGATTAAGTTAAGTAGGTTGGTTGGTTCATTTGGTATGAGAATAGTTTTTTGGAGGGCATTTTTGGTGGTTTTACTCAAATTTGACCTCCAATTTTGGTAATATTGCAGTAAACAGCGGCCACAGAATTCCGGAAACTCACTAAACTCAATCGATAGAACCATTTTCTTATATTACATTAGGTTAGGTTTGGTAACACATTTTGGTAATTATAAAACCGCAGGATTTTCATTGTTATATTATAGTGGACACTGTTGTAGTTTGTGGAAATATGTTAGAACCGACCTAACCAAACAAACCTACCTAACCTAACCTAACCTAACCTAACCTAACCTAACCTAACCTAACCTAACCTAACCTAACCTAACCTAACCTAACCTAACCTAACCAAACAAACCTACCTAACCTTACCTAACTTCCCGGAATATTAAACAGAAACAACTTACTATGATATGGTGAAATTTGAGGCATTTTTTGGACGCGAGATGATATGGCCACATTGATGCTAAGCAGCCTTGGCGGGTTTAGTCCTATATATTAACCCACATTTTTTTTAACAGATTCTTTGGTTACTGTAATCTGCAATTTTACCCCATTTCTTGTGAAAATTAGCAGTTTCTGTTAAAAAATGAAATGTTTTATTTTTTGCAAAACTGCTATTTTGTAAAAGAAATGAATGTCAGATTTTAGTAAAACACACTGAAAAACGTCAAAAAAGATTATTCTCATACCAAAACCTGAGGACAGCCAATGGACGAATATTTACCATACGTAATTTGCGCCAGTAAAGCCATCGAAGATGTCTTAGAACTGTCAAAATTACTGATAGCAAATATAAAATTCCTGAGATTCATTAAGTGACAATAGTGAAATAACACCCACATGCAATTTTACCAGTCTCTACGTGCCTTGTACACCCCCTCCACCTTTACAGTCCAATAAGGGCAATCTCCTATAGGTTTAATGCTCTGTGTACCTCTACTTCCATCAGTCATGTGGGTTCTTTTGTCAAAATATTCTCTTGCCTTTTATAAACATAACACTCTGACGACATTTCGGTGTGTTTAGTGTAGACACATCTTCTTGTTCTTCATTCTTTGATTGTAACCTTTTTAAGGGACTCTTGGGCATTTCGCTGTAAGTTTGAGAAAGAAATATAAGGCGTAGGTTATCCTATGGCACCACAGCTCCACTAAACATAAAGTTGTTTTGGCGCGTAAACCTGTTGGTGTTGTACGGGGTAACATACACAGATAATTTATTCACCATTCACAGGGTAAAATCTCAATATAATTCGACATTGATTCAGCATGTACACGAAGAGTACAAGTATACAATTAAATATAAAAAATATGTCAATTCAATCAAGGATAGCCTCAGAAAACTATTAAAGCTTTACTATGTACCTCGCTAATTTACTATGCACAACAAACATGAAATACTACATCACACTGGGTGGTAGACCTATACCAGTTAAAGTGCTCTACATTAACCATATCATCTAACCATTAAGTGTTCTAGATTTAACTACACCATCCTCCCATTAATCTCTGTTCTAAAGTCGTCTTACTTTTACTTACTTTTATCCTCTTCACCGCTGATAGGCTCGTTAGCCGCTTGGGCGATCGGTAACGTCTCTGTTACGCACTGTTGGCAAGTACTGGGCATGCACTGGCTCCTGAATGTATCTGAACGTGCTCCAATGCTTGCCAAGTAGGTCTTGAAAGAGTTCACACTTGGTGCCGTCACAGGACTCTCTGGCAGATTGTTCCAAGAGTTCACTCCACTCCGAAAAGTTACCCCTCACAGTTATCGGGGCTTGCGGCTTCTTCAACCTTGAGCTGTGATCCCTTGTGGGGCAAGCGTCCGCCAGCTCCAGGTAAGGGCACTCGACTGAGTAGTGCTTGTACACCTCAATTACGTCTCCCCTTGCCCGTCTGTAGTATAAGCTAGGCAAGTTCAGGCGCTCCAATCTCTTCGGGTAGCTGAGGTACCGTACTGCAGGCACCAGTCTGGTGGCCCTCCTTTGGACATTTTCAATCAACTGACAGTCTCGAGGACCAGACGGGGTGACAGTACTCCAGATTTACCTTCTCCTCGCAATGGCCCGAGAACTTAAGCTCATTGTCAGCATACACCCCTAGGTCCTTTTCACATTCAGTCTCAATTAATGCAGTTTCTTCGTCCCGTTGGGACATATGATACGCCCCCTTACCGTTGGTTCGTCCCAGGTGCATCCTCTTACACTTCGTGACACTGAATCTTAGCAGCCATTTCTTTGACCATTCTTGGAGCTCACAGAGATCCTTCTGCAGCTTTTCATAGTCTGCTTGGTTCTTAATTTCCCGAAATAACTTGGCGTCATCCGCAAACATTTGAATGGAGCAATGTACAGCGTCAGGCATGTCATTTATGAAGCAAACAAACAACAGCGGGCCCCTGTGGTATCCCGCTTGTGACAGGTACACAGGATGATTTCGTGCCTTTAATCACCACACACTGCTTGCGGTCATGTAGAAGGTCTTCGATCCATGCAAGGACATTTCCCCGAATTCCGTACCCTTCCAGTTTAATTTTCAGCCTTTCATGGGGTACACTGTTAAAAGCCTTGGCAAAATCTAGGTATATATTGTCGATATTACCACCCCGTTCCAGAATATGGGTCCAATTATCTAGTACCTTGAGTAATTAGGTTAAGCAGGAACGCCCCGGCATAAAACCGTGTTGGCAATCCTATACAAAGTTGTTTTGTAGTAGACGTTCCATCATGGCATCTCTTATAATGCTCTCAAGCACTTTACATACTATGCTGGTCAGGCTCACCGGTCTATAGTTGTTCGTGGAGTGACGATCGCCCTTCTTGAAGATAGGACTCACATAAGCCATTTTCCAATCACTGGGGACCTTTTGTTCAACCAGACATCTACAGAACAGGATCTTCAGGGGCTCAGAAGCTCGTTGCACAACTCTCTTAGCACTCTGGGATGCACCATGTCAGGGCCAGGCCTTTAGCTTTGACAGTTTATTTCTTACAACCTCTTCTGTGAACACAATGTGGGTCAGTGCTGTGTCGAACCGTCTGTTCCCAAACGCAGGTAAGTTAATCGTATCCTCTCTTGTGTACACCGAAGAAAAGAAGCTATTCAATGCCTCAACTTTTTCCTGGTCATAATCTGCGTAACTGCCACCTTCAAGCCTCTGGTCCGATACCCCCTTATCTCAATACTTTACAATCTGGAATTTGTTCTGGGAGAACACGAGGCCTCCCTGGTTTCCTGCATCAGGTTATTGGGTTCAGCCCTGCACACAGCATCCCTGCCGAACTGATATTGATCACCTGGGCATCCTCGTTCGTGTCACATTGTCAGGGTTAATGTTCAGATGGGGACTTATATCTATACATTCTTGTCATGGTTAATGGTTAGATGGGGCTTAGATCTATATACAATATTTTTGCCATGGTTAATGGTTAGATGAGACCTAGATCCTGATATGCTCCAGCTTAACCTAACCCAACCATTAGGATCACTTGCCTTGGGTGACATTAGACTTATTTACTGTTGTTATGAGGACAAGTGTAAGATTAGTTCCTTGGCTTTTAGTTGAGTGTATTAAACTGTGTGTGTGTGTGTGCGCGCGCGTATTTACCTATGTGCTCCATTCTGATAAGCGAGAGAGATTCCTGGGAGCAAACATGGTGTATATTTCTATAATGCGTTTATTTCTTGCAACAAAATATGATGTGTAGTGTAATAAATAGGTGTGTGTATGTAAGGTGACTGATACGTCTCATATACACATCCCTTATACTTTAGCGATGTGCCGTTTTATTGAGAACCACAACGGTGCTTAATAAAATTTTTGTCTCTCTCCCGGTAACTTGTCTCATGATACTGTCCGTCCCACAAACTCCAACCCCTGGTAAGATTTAACGCCTAATTCACATTATGTCTTTATTGGGCAATCATGTAGGTTTCGAGTTTCTGTTACTCACTTCTGGAGCACAGGCAGGATAGAGATGATGAGGATGTAGGGGGCGAGAGTGTTGACGGCGAAGTTGGCCTCCACTTGGTAGCCATCTTCGTCGTACTAGTAATGTCTTCCCTCCTAGTAATGTCTCCACTGCTAGTAATGTCTTCCCTCCTAGTAATGTCTCCACTGCTAGTAATGTCTTCCCTCCTAGTAATGTCTTCACTACTAGTAATGTCATCACTACTAGTAATGTCTTCCCTCCTAGTAATGTCTTCACTCCTAGTAATGACTTCGCTACTAGTGATGTCTTCACTACTAGTAATGTATTCACTACTAGTAATGTCTTCACTACTAGTAATGTCTTCCCTCCTAGTAATGTCTTCACTCCTAGTAATGACTTCGCTACTAGTGATGTCTTCCCTCCTAATGTCACACTAGTAATGTCTTCCCTCCTAGCAATGTCTCCACTACTAGTAATGTCTTTTCCCTCTAGTAATGTCTCCACTACTAGTAATGTCTTCCCTACAGTAATGTCTTCACTAGTAATGTCTTCACTACTAGTAATGTCTTTAAAAGCTACTAGTGATGTCTTCACTACTAGTAATGTATTCACTACTATTAATGTGCTTCCCTCCTAACAATGTCTTCACTACTAGTAATGTCTTCCCTCCTAGTAAATGTCTCCACTACTAGTAATGTATTTCCCCTCCCTAGTAATGTCTTCACTACTATTAATGTCATCACTACTAGTAATGTCTTCCTCCTAATAATGTCTTCACTACTAGTAATGTCTTTACTTTACTAGTGATGTCTTCACTACTAGTAATGTATTCACTACTAGTAATATTTTCCCTCCTAGCAATGTCTTGCCTACTAGTAATGTCTTCCTCTAGCAATGTCTTCACTACAAGTATGTCTTCACTACTTTAGTAATGTCATCACTACTAGTAATGTCTTCCCTCCTAGTAATGTCTTCCTACTAGTAATGTCTTCACTTCTGTGTGTATTCTACTAGTAATGTCATCACTACCATGTCTTCCCTCCTAGTAATGTCCACTACTAGTAATGTCTTCCCCTCCTAGTAATGTCTTCTACTATTAATGTCATCACTACTAGTAATGTCTTCCCTCTAATGTCTTCACTACTAGTAATGTCTTCTACTTCTTAGTGATGTCTTCTTTTCTACTGATAATGTATTCTACTAAATGTCTTCCCTACTAGTAATGTCTTCCCTCCTAGTAATGTCTTCACTCCTAGTAATGACTTCGCTACTAGTGATGTCTTCACTACTAGTAATGTATTCACTACTAGTAATGTCTTCACTACTAGTAATGTCTTCACTCCTAGTAATGACTTCGCTACTAGTGATGTCTTCACTACTAGTAATGTATTCACTACTAGTAATGTCTTCACTACTAGTAATGTCTTCCCTCCTAGTAATGTCTTCACTACTAGTAATGTCTTCGCTACTAGTGATGTCTTCACTGCTAGTAATGTCTTCCCTACTAGTAATGTCTTCACTACTAGTAATGTCTTCACTACTAGTAATGTCTTCACTACTAGTAATGTCTTCACTACTAGTAATGTCTTCGCTACTAGTGATGTCTTCCCTACTAGTAATGTCTTCCCTACTAGTAATGTCTTCACTACTAGTAATGTCTTCACTGCTAGTAATGTCTTCACTACTAGTAATGTCTTCACTCCTAGTAATGACTTCGCTACTAGTGATGTCTTCACTACTAGTAATGTCTTCACTACTAGTAATGTCTTCACTACTAGTAATGTCTTCGCTACTAGTGATGTCTTCACTACTAGTAATGTATTCACTACTACCTAGTAATGTCTTCCCTCCTAACGTGTCTTTAACTAGTAATGTCTTCCACTATGATGTCTACTGTAGTAATGTCTTCCCTCCTAGTAATGTCTTCACTACTAGTAATGTCTTCACTACTAGTAATGTCTTCACTACTAGTAATGTCTTCACTACTAGTAATGTCTTCACTACTAGTAATGTCTTCACTACTAGTAATGTCTTCACTACTAGTGATGTCTTCACTACTAGTAATGTCTTCACTACTAGTGATGTCTTCACTACTAGTAATGTCTTCACTACTAGTAATGTCTTCGCTACTAGTGATGTCTTCACTGCTAGTAATGTCTTCCCTACTAGTAATGTCTTCACTACTAGTAATGTCTTCACTACTAGTAATGTCTTCACTAGTGATGTCTTCACTGCTAGTAATGTCTTCCCTACTA